AGCTGCATTAAGGGACGTTAAATATGTGAAAAGTCAGCCAGGCCTATGACTTCTGACGAGCAGCAACAAGTCTAGGAAGATCACTGCCTTTTGTGATGTTGATTGGGCATCTTGTATGGTGTCTAGAAAGTCTGTTACTGATTTTTGTATAAAGCTGGGAGACTAACTAATCTCCTGGAGGTCCAAGAAGCAGAGTACAGTATCAAGATGCTCAGCTGAGGCTGAGTATAGGAGTATGGAAACCACAGTAGCAAAGCTGGTTTGGTTGCATGAGTTGTTAGAGGAAATGGAATGGAGGTTGATCTACCAATGGAGTTATTTTGTGATAACAAAGTAGCTCTTCAAATAGCATTGGATCCCATGTACCATGAGCGTACCAAACACATAGAGATAAACTGTCATTTCATCCGGAAAAAAACTACAACAGGGGTTAATCAAGACTGAACATGTTGCCAGCAAAGAGCAAGTTGCAGACATTCTAACTAAGGCTCTAGGGAAACAACTGCATAGTGAAATGTTATGCAAGTTGGGGATGATTACTGTATTTTATCACCCAACTTGAGGGGGAGTGTAGAAAATATTAGCAGCTGTTACAGTTGTACTTGATGGATATAGAGTAGTACTTAGTTAGTTGCATAATTAGTTAGCTAAGGACTATGTTAGAATATAGTTAAGTTAGCTAGTTAGGAGTTGTATGAATAGGCATGTACATACACATTGTAATTAAGATTGAAGAAATGCAACTGAGAGTTCTCTCTGTGTAACCGACTCAAGCTCTCACTCTCTAACTCAGTTGCATTTCCCCTTTTAACAGTTAGTGGGGAACTTGGGTACACTGAAACTTATATAAAAAGAGGAAAGAGTTTGACTGGATATATATTTAACTTATATATTTCACTAATAATAATCGAGAGAGATTACTAACTAATATAATGGTTGAAGAGTTGCTTTGACAGAGTATCACAAGAATAAGTAGATTAGTTTAGAGAATTTAGCATCATATAAAATATTTTTGGATATCCTGATTCGAAAGCATAGCATATAAATTGAGATAGAATAAGTATTTGTTTTTCTTTTCGCCCATTGTTGAGGCACATAAAGTTGCAGATGTTGGGCAATGGAGATGGTGGGGTGGCTAAAGATAATTCCATTAATACAATTCTGACTCGGTGATATAAGATTGCACCCACAAAATGTTTCAACATAAGGTAAGACTATTTGCACTTTTGCTACACAAAGAATACCTAACTTATAATTTAAATACTTTGTCTTCACATTTGAAAGGGAAATTTGATCATATGATCATATCCTTTTTCTAAAATTGGGCACCATCTCAAGTTGATGCTAGCCAAAAAATTGCACTCTCCCCCTTTCTCTCTCTTTTATCCATTCTGGTTACTTATACTAATGTATTTGGTGCCTAAGCCTAATGCCTATTACTTTTGCTGTGGCTGAAAATGTGAAAGTGTTCAAAGAAAAAGTGCAGACAAAGGGTCCTGAAATAGGGTAAAAACTTATTACTAATATTTAGTATTTACGTCAAATCAACTTACACAAGACATGTATCATTCACTAACTATAATCAAGTAATATATATTCTCACTTTAATTTGTAGAACTTAAAAAGTAAATTATTTAGTTGATATAAGTATCGAGTACGAGCGAGTGGGTGTTTTTCGTGAAATAATAGGAATTACAAGGAATTCTTCTCTCCGACTTTTTTTTTTTTTTTGGAAAAGAGAAGTAACTCTAGCTCTTATGCATTATCGATGTTTTGCAATTTTGCCTATACATCTTTCATGAAAAAAGACGAAAACTTTGTGTACTTTTATATGGTTGTGGATAAGTTTTATCTATGTAAATCTGAAAGTGCGACTTCGATTGTTTTATTATTGTCCTTTAACAACTATTTAGTTTATATGGTAAAAGATGGCAATTATAATCCTTTGCTTTTGAGGAATAGTTTTATGGACAAATTATACCAAAAGGCAAGAAGGAAAACGGATAGGATAGAAGACTATAATTAAGTTCTCTCTTAAAATTAGAATGATGTGCCCTTATTTTAAAAAGAGCTTAAGTTATAGACATTGACATTTGACACACACACATATACATATAATTTAAACTCTTTTTAAAATGCAGAGAAAATAAAATTTTATCGCATGCCATATTTATTTACTTCAGGAATATAGTTGAATAAGATGGTTATACTCTCCATAAGAATCTAATTATTTAATTCATGATCGGTTATGGTAAAGCATTTTTAATTAAATATGTCTAAGTTATAAACACATGGAAAGGACTAACTAAAATTAGAAGAAAATAAAAGGGAAAAAACAAATAGAATACATTTAACATCTCTTCATTTGGCTGTATTATGCATTTTTAGCCGCGTCAAAAACTCACAATAAATTTTGCCCTGTCTGGTCTTGTTTTTTCTTTCTTTAATTTCTCCATTTACTAAGTTGTCTTTTGTGTTCGCTAAATACGAAAAAGTTAGAAATGGGGAAAGGAAAGGTCACTATTATTGAGATACCCAAAACAATGGTAAAAATAATGCGAATGCTTTCTCGACTTTCACAAAAGCTCTTTATCTATACATATTTTTTTTAATAATACAACGTGATCTAGCTAATTTATGTGTATCTTAATTAATTTTACGAAATACCAGTTATTTTTACCAATTTAAAATGCACATATTCTATGAATAAAAATTTAATTTTCATTTTTTCTGCTTAGTGAGTGATATGTTATTAGTATAATCTTAACGAATTATGACCCTACTTATCCCGAAAATATCTAATAAACATGTCTGCTTCTTTTTAGAAGGTGATAATTTAGAATAATGGGATTCAAGCTTAAGGTTGTCTATTGAAAAATAGTTTTCTTCTGAAATACTGAAAGATAAAAGTTTTTTTAATGAGCTTTATCTCACCATACTTTTATTTTATTTCTCAATAACCGATGTTGTATCCGCTTTGGGCCTAGGCTAATCTCGATTTGCGCTAGCTCATTAAAAGGAAACATGCTTCCTACCGGGATTTTTCGATTCCATATTCGAACTTAAGTCCTCTAATTATAGGTGGATAGATCTTATCTATCTCACCACAATCCTTGATGGTTTATCTCGCCATATTTTAAATTATCGATACGATGTCATTTGGGTTTTAATAAAATAAAGAAAGGATGGTTCCATGTGGTTATATTGTTTTTCAACCATCTCGTTAATGCAAGATCAATGGCATAGTTTTTTTCATAAAATTGAATTACAAGGAATAAAATGAGCTTTTCCCAGAGAATAAGCACCTTCAATCTTTCTCCTTCTACTTTTTCGAATTTCTTTTCATGGGCATATCTTTCTGTTGAACATGAGACAAAGACAGACTCCAATAGCGAAGTTAGGAAGTGCTGAATATTGCAATATCATCAATACTACTTTATGGTACTAACTACAAGCTTAATAAAATAATAACCATGCCTCAATCGTCGTTAAAACGCTCGTAGCTAGCAAAATTTCTTAATAATCCGTTGCTAATCCGACACTAAATGAGATTAGAGACAGATTTTTCTGTTTAGCTACAGAATTTGTCCGTCGCTAAAACTTTATTTTTAGTAGTTATAGAATTGGCATTGTCTAAGTTGTTCAATTTATATTTCTCTCAGTCTAATAGCTACTAAATTTTCCAAAAACCTTGAGATAGATATTCCTGTAAAAATAGCACGGTATAGCCAGTTTTCGGACTGCTCATTCAAAAATAGCCAGCGTTTACGAAGTCAATGAAAAATAGCCACTATTTTGCTGCAACAGAGACCGGTCCAGCATAATATACTGGAGTTTGGTGCACCTGTGTATGAATTCCAGCATATTATGCTGGACCGGTATACTTTGCTGACTCCAGTATATTATATTGGACAATTATGCTTGCTGGAACTCCAGTATATTATGCTGGAGTTCTAGTGTACTTATGTTGGAACTCCATCATATTATGCTGGAGTTCCGGCATACTTATCCTGGAATTCCAGTATAATATGCTGGAGTTCAATCATACTTATGCTGGAACTCCAGCATAATATACAGGCGTATTTTCCGGGTTTTGAACAGTGTTTTCGCTCAGATTTATCTTTACATAAAAAGTGACTAAATTTCGATTACTTTTGAAACTGGACTATTTTTGAACGACCAGTTGTAAATCTGGTTATTTTTTAATTTTTTCCGATATTCCTTCTAATAGATATCACCTATAAAGCGAAGACTAAGAAGACTTTGTCTTGCCCACACCCAAAAAAAGACATGATCAGATTAGCAACGACTTTTGAGTAGAGAATTTTTTTGCTTTTCAGTATTCCTTCGGATTTGAGTTACAGTTAACAGATGGAATCTAATTCATTAGAGGAACAGATGGAGATTAACTGATAGAACCACTTCTGGGACTTGACAACATAACCTAGGTGTTCCCACAGTAGACAAGAATCCACCACTATCCTCTATCCAAGATACATATATCAACTTCATGTTGTTGGAACTTGGAAACACAAAGAAAGATAAGGCTATTTAAGGATAGAATATGAAGGGGAATCATGGAGCAACGATTAAGTTGTTTCCGTATAATATATAGGTCACTGGTTCGAGCCGTGTAATTAGTCGTTGATGCTTGCATCAGGGTAGGCTGCATACATCACACACCCTTGGGATGCGGCCCTTTCCAGGACCCTGCGTGAACACGGATGCTTTGTGCACCAGGCTGCCCTTTTTAAAAATTTATTTAAGGATAGAATACATGAATATGGAATTCCAATTCCCATAACTTTGAATATCATGTTACATCAGAATACTCAGTCTCTCATACTTATATCTTTCCTTTTGACCACTGGTTACCACTAAAATTATTACAAGCCAGTGAGCCACAACATCAAAAGGGCCATCTTCTTGTCTTTCTACTTGCACCCAACATAAAGGTGGATCCAAAAAATCAAAAGATATATAATCTCAAATGAAATAACTTCATGTGAATGGTGAATTGTCACAAAGATCAACCATTGATATCAGTACAATGAAATAAGGCAAAACTTCTCTGAATAATTAGACTACATTAAACAATAATACAGGAGAAAAATCACCTATGCTAGGTATCATTTCTCAATGGTCCATTCTCCTATTACCTGCTTTAAATAATAAATTCAAATAAAAATGAAAAGTCAATGTTCTTAAGAAATTTGGACCTCCTTTCTCTGCTTGTTGTTTTTCTGTTCACAGTTGCCTTGCTTCCAAGAAAACACGACGAGAACATTAGAATCAAATGCAGTTACTATCTACCAGAACCTTACTTTTTGAAGATATCAAGACTAGGTAAAATAAAGAATTAGGATGTTATACAGAGCCATTCACTGATCAAGCTTCATTTGCTCCATCCATGCACTCAGTTGATCAGATTGATCGATCTGGGAGCTTGACGTAGGGCCTTCACCAAGATCTGCAACAGCACCTGTCGGTCCAGAGACATGAGGAACACATTTATCCTTCATCATCTCTGGTGGTGATTCCTTGACAAGAGATTGAACCCATGAAATATCCGGGTCTTCTCCATTGTTAGCAAGCTCAAATGATGATGATCGCCTTAGCCTACCGAACTCTCCAGTATNAAGCTCAAATGATGACGATCGCCTTAGCCTACAGAACTCTCCAGTACTGACAGCCCAGTCTGGCTTTCCCATAGCTGTACCCCATGTATCTGCCGGCGACCCAACAATAGCAGAAACATTGGAGCCAAGATCACGAGAGCTGAAACTTCTAAATTGGTGCTGCTTGTCATGTTGAGCAAGTATTGAGACACGGGGACTTCTTGGTGAGATTGGCTCCATTGCTCGGGGAGACATTCTCCCCGATGAGGGAACTCCAAATGAGGCCTGCAATAGAGGATTATCAACATTTCTTGGTGAGAAATTCGTATTAATCGGAGATAACAGGCTCTGCTGCTGCTGCAATTGACTGCAAACTGCTGACTTGTGAGTAGGGGAAAAACCAGCTTGAGCTAATGCTTGATCAGAGTATCTAGGAGATGAGCTCTCTGCAGAAAATAAGTCCTCAAGATTTGCTCGGGCATGGCTCATCTGACGAGGTGAACAGTTAAAAGAATTAGAACTCATGTTGCGCTGGGATAGGCAAGAAAACTCATTTAGGAGCTGCCGTTGCACATCAAAATCTGGATAAGCATTCAGGTCTGCAGCAGGTATATCTCTAGCATTGAGCGATGACCGCAAGCGACTGGAATGGAGAAAGCTTCCAGGAAGGTGCAAGGCAGGGACATTTTGCTGGGGCCAACCCATGCTTGAAATGCCATTAGCAGAGGGAGACATTGGAGGTGAGAAAGGTGATGGTGACATGACAGAGACCGAGGAAGGAGAACCAGGTATGAGGCCCATGGCTGCAGCAAAATCCATAGCATTGGCAGCAGTACTCCCTCGAGGTGAGGGAACAGCAGAACCAGTAGAGACATAAAGCGGTCGTAGTTCCTCTTGCGTGTGAGCAAAGAAGCAAACTCTTCTGTTACAATCTGTACCGTCTTTGCAAAGGCGAGTTCGATATTGAGCAGGGTGCAGCCAACACTCAAAAACTCCATGAGCGTATTCACACATGTCCCCACGTTGGCAAGCTCCCTTGCGAAACTCAGGGCAAGGTACACAGCTGTAGTGGTACTTTCTAGGATCCCTTCTTCGAGCATTTTCGCCTGGATGGACAAATGGACATTCAGTCCAATCATGCGAGTAAGCACGAGAACAAGGTCTGATCTTAAATGAGAACATCCTGAATTCATCTGTAGAGTAGATGTTGTTTTTTATGTCAGGCAAGGAGGGGTCAATAGGGTATTCTTTCTTTTCTGGTATAGAATACACAGGGGTGTCATTGGACTTTGCACTCTTTGGGGAAGAATTTGAGTCTGAAGCAGAAGATGGTGATCTATTTCCACGAGAAGGCGAATGCGGAGGGGAATTTGAGTTTGAAGTGGCTATTGGCACCCTAAGCTCGCAGTCCCTGATACCATCAGTCTTCAGAAGGTTTTCTAGGCTTGATTTAACCGAAAGAAAGTTAGGAGATACAACTATTACATCAATAGGGCAACGGCCATTGACATCTTTAGACTTTGGGTCAGCACCGGCTCCCAAGAGAAGTTTGACGGCTTCTGCAGCATTCAGAGATCCACCAGACGCGGCACAGTGAAGGGCAGTGCTCTTATCATGTCCACAAGAACGATTAACATCAACATCAGGCACAGACAGAATCAGCTTTAGAACATCAATACTACCATACGTAGCAGCAATCATCAATGCAGTTCTATGCTCAAGAACCATTTGCTTCGAACCCTTTTGGCGCCCATACCACTGTCCAACCTCATGAATACTGGATAAGTCACGCTCAATCCATCTCGTGAAAGCCTCAATGTCATTATTGGCAGCAAGTTCAAGCAAGCTAGCAAATGTATCTACAGTTTCAACAGTCAGATTATTCATGGTCATCTTGGCGGTCCAACAAATACCAAAGCTGATGGTGTAGCTGGATACAATCTTTTATCAGCTCCAATAGAAAACACATACTTTCATCTCAGGACCCAACTGAAAGAAGAAAAAAAAAACCAAAGCATTAGAATCAGACAAAGAACAAAACATAATCCGGTACTGAGAGGAAGAGGGCCTTCTTTGGGAGAATCATTCAGGAAACACAATAACTCTACAGGCAGGTAAGCTTATTTACTATTTTTTGGACATATGAATTGGATCATATGTGTTGAGTGTACAGCCAAGTAGTATCATCAAAACATATACACAACTTATGAGAGCTCTAACAACAAAATGAAATGCTAGAGATTCATAAAAAGTAATATTATTCCGACGAATTCTAATAGGAGAAAAAAGAGCTATGCCCCTTGCTGTTAGTGAGAAGACAATAAAAGGATTGAGCTAATTGGACAACCATTTTCTGACTCTAAAGACAACACAAAAGCCACATATCACGAAAAAAAGAAAACAGAAGAATCTGTCCTAGGTAACCAAGTGAGAAATTCACAGAGTTCTGAATAGATAATATCATTATTTTTTTAAAAAAGAAAAGAAAAGTTACACTATTTCAGACTCAGACTTTTCAGCTTTCTTTAACCTTAATTTACTTGACGAACAATGAATTCTCAAATAAGAAGTAAAGAGAAACGGCCAAGAACAGAATCAGAGGGAGGAAACAAAAAGAAGAAAAACTTTCCCAATTACAGATATAAGAAAAAGGCCAAAAGGGTAGCATATCGACCAAAATCATTGCCAAAAGAACCATAATTGAATTCAATCTTCAAGAATTTACAAGCTTATAACCCATTAATTAATTCATCTATGTTTTCTAAGTTAAGAATTATCCACATAAGTATAGATACAAAATCAAAAAGTAACAAACAAGATTGAAGAGCAGCAGCAGCAGAACAAACAAACATAAAGTCCAAAGGGAAAACATTTACAATGAAATTTAAACACATGGGAATTAAGTTAAAAGTGGAATCACTTCTCACCAAATTATCAGCAAGAGCAAAGTGTGCAGCAGTTCCTCACATACATGAATATAGCTGTGTGTGTATATATAGAGAGAGAAAGTGGGCAAGAGTTGTTTAGAGAGAGAAAGAGAGAGGAACGAGAAAGTTGTGATAACCCAACAAGAGCTCCTCTTCTCCTTTTTTAGTACTTCGCCATTTCCTATGCGCTTTCTCTAGCATAACAAAGTAGGAGTTAAAATACTTTCCTCCCTCCCAATTATGTGCCATATTTGAAAAGGAGATTTAAAATAAATATATTTGTTTAGTTAGAGTATAAATTATTTTATTAAATAAAATAAAATATTTTTTAATATAAAAAATACTACATTATTCTTTAGATAAACTAAAAAAGAAGCATGGATATGACAGAATTAGTACAAACTAGTTCAAAGTAGTGGCTCTCTTTCCCTTTATCCTTTTAGTACTAGTAATTTTTTAGGTGGTTGAAATGTACGCCTGTCGAATAACCTCAACCACTATACTAGCATAAACTCAACAAATATAAATTAAGCTATATACACATTAATATAAATAATTTTACTATTTTTTTTGGTCTATTTTAGTTGATTTTTTGACCATTTTCACACATATTAAAGAATCTATCTTTTAGCATTAATTAACAATAAAATTGACCATATTAATCTTATTCTGTTCATTGAAAAATATAACAAATACTCATAAGCTCCTTACTCCAAAGGCAACTTTAAAAAAAAAGTTAATTCCTTTTTTATATCTGAAAATATCAAATATTATGGACCACAAAATAAAAAAATAAAAAAATTAATTAAAGTGGATCAGGGGAACATTATTAATGCAATTTATATGTAATAATCTTATATAAGTTAGTTATAATTTTTTTTCTTTTATAAGTTACTTATAATGATTATTAGACCGTGTTACGTGTAGTTAAAATTTGAATGATGTGATTGTGCGAATAATTTTTTCTATAGAACTTCAGCTCCTAATTTTATTATCAAGTTGTCTTTTTAAAATTTTCGAAAAAATCTTAAGATATTGATGTTTACCACAAAGGTTTCGATCTGGTGTGTTTTGTCCTTTGTTTAGCATTATCAACGTTATTGATTAGTATTTGTTAAATTTGTCCATTCTCCTCATTCTTAAACAATTAGTGCTTGTCGAGTTCATACTTTCACTTCCTCTAACCTTAAAATATTCTATTATTGCTAAACTGGCTATATCATGTCTCATATGCTTTTTCAACGACCCATATTATGGTTTCGAATTTCGATCTGTATTTCAAAAAAAAAAAAAAAAAAAAAAATTGCATGTTTTCGCCAAAAAGAATGCTAACTGCCTTTGCTGGTCATATAATTTCTTTCTTTTTTAGTTTGAAAAAGATATTTATAATAACAAAAAAGTTATGTATTTATTTAGTTAGTTCGAATAGAAACATTGACGCAACAATAAGAGTTATTATCGTGTAATAAAAATAAAAGTTTTAAGGGCCCATTTGGACATAAGAATTTTTGCTCTTTGTTCCGAAAAATATCCCCCTTTTTTCGAAATTGGTGTTTGGGCGATAAAATTTTCAATTTTCATTTGAAGATAAATTTTAAAATTTTTCGAAAATTTAAAAAACTCCAAAAAGACTATTTTTCAAAATTTTCACTCAGTTCACTCACAAAATTCAAAAACAATTATTTTCGCTTGAATTATTAATTTTCAAATATCATTTTCGCTTGAAATTTTTTTTATTTTTTTTTTTAAAAATTTACAATTCTTATGTCCAAACGCCCACTAAGTCGTCTAAACAATCTATTATGGCCCATTCCTTATTGGATATAGTGAGTTTTGTATACAGGGCAATGTTTTATTTGGATTTTGGTGACTAAATAAAAAATGTTTTGAATGCGAAGACGTATGGGAGCAAAGCGTTATGAACTTATAATCATGTGGTTGTAGAATATCATTTCTCCTAATAATATATTATAGAAATTATTAAAGCATATCTGCTAAATAGCATGTTATCAAACTGGTATTAAAGATTATCATGCTAAGGTGGTTTCGTCACCTCAATCATGTACAATTATGTCCTACACTCAGCAAACTAATTACGATTATGATTATTAATGAACGAACATAATTAGACCAGTAACTACTACATCTTGCTTTATAAATGAAGCTATCAAATATTGTGTTCTTTCAAAAGATGCACAATACTTCCAAAAATACTTAAATATACCCTATTCTACATTAATGATAGTTGAAAATTCAACAATTTGGACTTTGTGTCAAAATTGTAAATTACTACGACGTGCTAAATTGACTGAATTAAATTTTGGAAGAATTGAAAATGAAATTAATGCGGAGTACGAACTCCAATAAAACAATGAAGACATTATATTTTGTTGGTTGCTTTATTTAAGTATTTATTTGGGTGTCTGCCCAAAGACACTTGTAACGTCCCTATCATTAAATGGCATGTACTTCCACTGGGTAAAAGAGTGTTTTTTAGGGTAAAAAACGTTACAGTTAATCTTCTAACGTTTAGTTCTAGTCAAACAGCTTAGATTTTTTTTACTAAATAAATTTACTCCCACTTAGAAAAGAACACTTCAGAATTGAGAGTTCAGACGAGTACAGTTTGCCGCTTGGCAAAAATTGAATCAATTTTTAGACGTTGGTATTATTCCCCAGCAGCTTTGTAACCCTAGTTTGGAGTGAGAGGCAAGGGGAAGGACTTCTGACTAGGCCTGTTCATCGGTCGGATCGGATTTGGCAGCTTCGGATTATAATTTTGGATTTTTTAAATTGCAATTCGAATCTGAACCAAATTAAATTCGGATCGGATGAATTTTGATATTTGGTTTGGATAAATATTTTTAATTTCGGTTCAATTTATACACCTTGTTAAAATGCTAAAATAAATGCTATCTCCGTAAAACTCATTGATTTCTGTATCTTTCACATTTAATATTGAAAAGAAAGAAAGGGCAAAAACAGTGAGAGAGATAACAAAGAAATCTTAAAATTTCTGAGAGGGCACCCTTATCTGTTATATGTAAAATATGAATTTCAGGTTTCCGGTCGGTTCGGATGTAAATTAAGCCAAATCGTATTTGATCCGATATTCAAAATAATTAAATTAAATATCTGAAATCCGATCAAAAAAGCTAAAATTCTATCCAAATAACACGGATTAGTCCGTATATTTAGGTTAACCCAAATAATGCACAGCACCACTTCTGACCAAGTTCAGTGTAATTGCTAATTGGGCCATATTGGCCAATAAATGAGTAATGTTGTAATCTTAACAAGAAACATATGCGTGTTTGAAAATTATTGTATAATTACTAGGCTAGTATATGGAGTACAATATAATAATTAAAAAATAAAATAATTATAATTACCTGTTTGTTTCCTAATTTATTTATAATATAATTTTTAGTGTCATATTTGATTGCGCAAGTATAATTACATATTTTAAAATTTTTTATTTATTAAAATATATAGATTGATCTTATTATGTAAGTAGTTTATCACCTCTGCCGCCACTTCCATTACCACACTTTATAATTGATCTGACTGTGCAAGTAATTTTTACACTATCAAACATAGAAGCTAAATTCATTATCAATGTAAAACTAAGACTAATAATTGAGATTAAGATGATCTGCATTCTGCATGAGTTAGAAAAAAATAAGAAATAATGAACATTTGAGAGGAGTAATTACAAGATAACGAGCCAAAGAAGTGGGACCAAACAATCAACAAATGCTTTGTTGATGGACTTTGAATTGAGAGCACGTGGATCTTTCTCTATTGAACATACGAACCTTATTTTTTTACAAATAGTCGACTGGATTTATGCCTTACTTTTCTAGCCAATTTATATAGATTATATACTAATTATATAAAATTAAACATATATTATATATAAATTATACATATATTATAATGGTTGGATGAAGACAATTTGTGTTAATTTTTCTTACACACTAAGGGTGTGTCTGGTATGAATGAAATATTTTCCGGAAAATATTTTTCAATTTTTCCATGTTTGGCTGGTTTAAATGTTTTGGAAAATATTTTCCTCGTGAACTCATTTTCCTACAATTGGAGGGAAATATTCCCTATTAAGAGAAGGGAAAATATTTTCCAAAAAAAGTTTTCAACCTTCCTCACCCTATTCCTTATCCCTACCAACCCTCACTCCCACTACCGACCTCACCCCACCCCCGCTTCCAGCCTAAATAAGAATATTATTAATAGTACTTTCTTTTTTATATTATAGATAGATTTTTTTTTCATTTTAACAAATGAGTATTTTCTTTTCATTTGGGAAGGGTGGGGGTTGGGGGGGAGGGGAGGGGAACAC